CACTAGCTCATTTGTAACATCGTATCTTTTTGTTGTTTTTAATTTTAATTCAAAATATAAGTGTATAAGTTGGTTAATTTGGGGTTGAACTTAATAACCAACAATGTAAGTTTGAAATAAATTTTTTGACTCGAAAATTACATTTTTTGCAAAAAATTAGGCAAAATATATTGGACCCGAATCCGGACCCGGATCTGTTGGACCCGACGGATCCGGATCTTCATTTTCTAAACCCGACAGATCCAGGTCGGATTTGGATCCTACATACAAAAACGGATCTGGATCCGAGTCCATCCGGACCCGGTCCAGATCCGACCCGTTGTCATCCCTAGTCATCACTATCTTTCTCAACATTTAATTTTTATTGATAAAATTAAAATCTTAGGGCTTGTTTGGCATCAGTTTTGGTTTTCAATTTTCTGTTTTTTTGAAAACCAAAAACCAAAAATAGGAATCAAGAAAAAGGTGTTTCCACTTTTCTGTTGTCAGTTTTCAAATTTATCATAATTTTAATAAGTTTATATAATTTTTGATTCATTATGGGACACATATCATATACTTTTAGAAAACAAAAAAAAAAAAAAAATCAAAAAACAGAAAACCACAGCAATGCCAAACAAACCCTTATTTATTTATCAATCAATATATATATTAAAACTCATGGCAAGACATGTTGTTTTGCCATGTGTCAACAATTTTGCCATTTGGCATATGATGTGTCGTCGTCAAATCATACCATAACATTAATTATCGAAAAACCTTATGCATTAACTTTCATGTATTAATGTTTAGTTTAATTGATAAACTCTTCATATGCATGACATTTTCTCTTGAATTGGACTGTAACTCCTTAATAATTACATAATAATAAAGTTTGTAAGAAATTAAATATTGCTCCATTTTTATTTTGTGCCATAGAGTGAAAGATTTTTGTGCATTATGGAATAGTATATATTTTGACATCAAATTTATAAAGATTTGATTTATCATATTTTTATGATTTTAATGCAAAAAAATTATTTTTATAATCAAACCAATTTTTTTTTTTTTTTGAATAGTTATAATCAAACCAACTCATACAAGCAACAAACTACTTAAGCTATCATATTAAATAAAAAAAAAAAAACCACCACTTAAGCTCTCAATGATAAACAAGCCAAAATATATATAGTTCGATTAAAGTAAAAATTTATAATGACCCGGGGCATCGCCTAGGCCAATAACTAGTTTATTTACTAAAACTTCAATGGTTGGCTAATTTATTTAATAGCTTGGCATTCCACATCATCTTCTTAAGCTGCAACTCTTCAAGCTATTTGTTGCTCCAATGGTTAAGCTAGTTGTAAATTATTTTATTTTAAAATTAATAATTTTTTTTATCTAATAAATATTTGCTAAGCAAATTAGCTCTACAAAGCTAATTTGCTTGCCAAAGCTAATCAACAAGATGTGCAACAATGGTGTAGCTACTAGCTTAAGATTTTTAATATATGCAAGCTAGTCCCTTTTTCAACCATTGGAGTTGCTCAGCATAAAAAGCTTATTTTCATTTTTTTTAAAAAAGAATTCTGTATGATATATTAGCAAAATTATTATATTATCCAAAATTTTTAACAGCCAACAAACATAAAAAGAAATAATTAAAAAAAACAAATGTTTGATATGACAAGTTATAAAGTGTTGTAGCCAACTAATGGAGAAGTTTGTAGCTTAAAACCATTGTAGTTTAAAAATCTGATGTGGCAAGGCCAGCTACAATATCTTATAATTTGCCATTGGAGATGCTCTTACTGTTTTTAAGAATTTAATAAAATTACAAGTTCCTTGAGCACTCTTAGAGTCTCACTCAGTCAAAAAATTGCCCAAAAAGAGAAATTCAAGGTAAAAATAAAAAAACATGCATCCTACTCATGGGCAAAAAAAATCAATGCCCATGAGGAAAATTAGAAAATTCTTAAACCCCATGATACTTTTAAAACGCTACAGTAATTAGTGGAGCCCACTAATTAAATTTAAAAATATTATTTTGACCAATTTAACATATCAATACTACTGTACTAAAGTAATCACCGGCATTATCCCTTAATACATGTGTCACATTCTTAGAAAAAATTTTCCCACCCAAAATTTGTTATTATTTTCTTTACATCTTTTTTATTATCTTCTTAAAAAAGTTTGTTAGTACTATTGAATATTGCTTTAAATTGATAATTATCTCTTAAATTCTTAAAAAAATATAAATAACTTCCTTTTATAATCTATGCTATATATTAAAAGGTGTTTATAAATTTGTATATGTGCCACGTGTACCCCTTTTTATACCCGTATTACGCCACATCATCATTCAATAACCTCTACCATTATGCCACATCATCATTCAATTATCCAAATTAAATTAAAAATGCATGCAAAGAGATTCGAACCTAAACTTCATTGAATAAAAACCACATGCATTGCCATCTTAGCTATAATTAAATTATAATCTATGTTTCCACATTTATGTATAAATACATATAGTACAAGTATAATAATGTAATATAAAACAAAAAAATCCAAAATGAGTTATTGTTGTCATTGTTTTCAAATTTACCACGTAATTCAAAATTATGAAGTCCGTCTTTTAAAGCGTCTAATATAAAAATGAAATCATTCAAAGTATCATCCGGGGCAAAGCCCGGGCCACACACTAATTAAAAAAAATAAAAGATTTGTTACTATGAAATTTTGAAAAGTATAAGTGTCGCATTAACAACAACAAAAAATTCCACCAACCCCCCTAAACAATAGCATGGTGATAAAAAGTTACAATAATTTATCAAAACAAAAATAAAAAAGAGTTTTAAGGTAGATATTAAATGAATTCAAATTTTAAAAAAAATAATTGTTATATAACTCATTCCATTTAGGGCCTATTCACTTCAGCTTAATTTCATTTCAGTTCATTTCAGTCCAACTCTAATTAGTTCAATTTAAACTAACTTTATTTTTATAATTTACTAGTCTTATTATTATGCAATCGTGCATAGCACGGGGCAAAAACTAGTTTAAAATAAAATAAAAATAAAAAATGTTCATAATTTATTGTTCTTTAAGTGGACACTCATTTTGTTGTATTTTTATACACTTTAAAAGACCAAAAACTGAGTAGAAAGAGAATGACACTTTATTTTTTGACCATGAGTGTGAGAGTGATCTTATACAACTTGGCAATTTGAAAATCCAAATTAATTCCACGTGTGGACGATTATCCAATTGACCTAATTAATAGACTCGATACATGTTAAACACAAGTCTAGGCCGCACCCGTAACCAAGAGAGAGAATTCATTTCACAAGTCCAAATAAGGGTTCAATCCCAAAATCATATGGGAATAGTAAGAGTAGCCCTCTAGCCTTATAAAGTGCTTAACTCTCTTTTATTTTTCTCAATATGGGGCACTTACATGTGTTATTTGGGAAATTTATACAACAAAACGTTATAAAAAAATATGAAGGTGGAGGTTTGTGCAGGATCATTCTTCTTATTAAAAAGGAAAAATTGCTCCCATTAATCTGAACTTTGCCTCATCCGCCGAAATTAATCCCAACTTCTTATTAAAAATTAATTTTCGTTGCACCCAAATGACTTGCAACCGGTAAAGCAGGTAAACCTTTGTGATTTTTTTTAGCACACGTGTCAATATGTAATTAGTTGAGAAAAATAAAGAAAATTAAAAAAATTAAAGTAAAGAAAATAAAAAAAAAATAAAGAAAAATGTAAAAAAAAAAAAGAACAACCCAGCAGCACCCACCACCGCACGAACACCACCGCCGTACATCAAACCACCACCACTGTTGGCCAAAAATGGCCGAAAATGGCCGATGTTGGGGCTGAATACCCTAAACCGGCCGATTTCGGCCGTTTGTGGCCGATTTCGTGGCTTGGTTAACCGATTTCGAGGGTGGGGAGGGGTTATCGGTGGCTAGGGAAGGGTTATCGGGGGTTGGGGATGGTTTTCGGGGCTGGGGAGGGGTAATCGGGGGGTGGGGAGGGGTTATCGGGGCCAGGGAGGGGTGTTATCGGGGCTGGGGAGGGGTTATCGGGGGTGGGGGAAGGGAAGGGGTGGCTGGGCAGCGGTTTCCGGTAGCGGGAGATGGGTCTTCGGGGAAGGGGCGGTTTTTCCGGCGGGGTAGGGGGTGGGGGCGTGGTGTTTTCCAGGATAGGGTGGGGGGCTGGGTATTTTTCCTTTTTTTTTTAACTTTTGTTTTTGGACTTATCACGTGTTGACACGTGTCTAGGTGACCTACTAAATCAGGTTAGATGACCTGTTGGGTGCAACGAAAATTAATACCCCAAAGTTGAGAGTGATAGATAATAAACTGAAGTTGGGATTATTTCGGCGGATGAGCAAAGTTCGGATTATGGAAGCAATTTTTCCTATTAAAAAAAGTGGTTCAATATTGCTTAACCTAAATCCAATCCAATAATAACGAGTTTAACGTTCAATACCTCTATAGTTACTCAATACAAATCTTGTGCAGAAACAATGTCATATGCCACATTATCTTTTTGTTTTCTTTCATGTGCTGGGTTAGAAAATAATATGGCTGCTATTGCTCTACATTTTACTATTTTAATAATGTTATTTTGTTGAGGTAGACAAATGCTCATTCGAATCAGATGCTCACATATTTAAACTCATCCCGATCAACAAAAAATGTCCCTTAAGAGGAGGTGTTAAGAGTAGGGAAATCCTCACCACTAAAAGCTTTATAAAATAGGATTTATTACTACAGCCTCACACAAAAACCAAAATTTTCAACTAGGCCTAGCACAGCTTGGTTAATTTTAACAATTTTAATCTTGTTGGTATTTTGTTTATATAACTGAGGTGGCGGGACCATGGTACATCGAAGAAACGTGGTTTTGCGTTGCAATTGGGGTTTGGGGACCACATGCATGATATGTTACATATAACTACATAAAGAGACTAATAGTAGGCGTAATAATTCTGTCAATAGTCGTACATTTTTCGTCAAATTCTATAAGATTAACATAATTACACAGCAATATTGGTCCCACTTTACGTTCCGTAAATCAGTTCCCTCTTTCGTCTATACTAACCTTACTTGCTTCCACCTTCACTACTCGACACCAACACTCATATCACTCCCTCCTTCCTCAATACACAACATCCAAACTCACACTACTATCTCTCTCTATTCATCTTTCATTGTTCCTCATTTCCATCCATGCCCTCCTCCCTCCTCGAATACGTATATCTTACTCGATTTTTTTTTTAATATATTATATGTAGACGAGATTTGATCTCAAGTCTTATTATTAATTAATTTGTTTTATGATACTGCAAGGTTTTGGCGGATGTTGGTGAAAAAACAAGGGCCGCCGCCTGCCCAAGAGGGTGCGGCAGCTGGAGAGGGAAGTAATAATGGTAATAGTAATAGTAATAGTAGTAGTAGTAATGAGGATGATACTAGTACTAGTGGAAGTTGGAGCAGTAACCCCGCAATTGAGTGCTATGCATGCACTCAAGTCGGGGTTCCCGTATTCCACTCCACTAGTTGTGATCGAGCTGGTCAACCTGAATGGGAGGCCTCTGCGGGGTCCTCCCTTTATCCAATTCGAACCCGAACTGAATTACGTTCTCGGTCCAAACAGGCCAAGGGAAAGCGTGGCTCCATCCAGAGATGGCCAACTGGCTTGTTTGGACCGATACTAGACCCAAGGAGCGAAAGAGTACGAAGGTGGAACCGTGTCATCTTACTCGCTCGGGCCGTGGCCTTAGCCATTGATCCTGTTTTCTTCTATGCTCTATCCATTGGGCGAGATGGATCATGTCTTTACATGGATGGGGTTCTAGCAGCGGTGGTTACTGTCATTCGCACGTGTGTGGATGTTATTCACCTGTGGCACGTGTGGCTCCAATTCCGGCTTGCGTACGTGTCAAGGGAATCACTCGTTGTTGGGTGTGGGAAACTCGTGTGGGATGCACGTGCCATTGCTTCACATTATGGACATTCATTGAAAGGCTTCTGGTTTGATCTTTATGTTATACTTCCAATTCCACAGGTATGATTTTGTGACTCGAATTTTTTAATTAAATGTCTATTTATTAATATTTAGGTATAACAAGCTAAGAATAAATAAAAGAATAAAAGATTCAATAATCATAGTTTGACTTCAAACTATACAAAGAATTAGGCTTTCTACCTTTAATGTATTTTATGTGCAGCTGACCACTCCATGTAGTTGCTGGTAAAAGAACAAAATAACCTAATAACAATGACAAGCAACCCAAAGTAACCCATGTAATATCCTTATAATATTGTCGATTACCCCTGTAACACTGATTGAGTAGCTCTGATAATATTAACGAAACAATCCCCATAATAGCTAACCGCAGTCACATAAAAATTTGTATATATTCTGCATTATTACTTCGAACATACCATTTTCAATAATTGAATTTCTGTGTGAATTATTGAAAATATACCTTTCTCGACTTGAAACTTTAAAAATTTGGTGGGGTCTAAAGTATATTTTCCTTGATTATTGTTAGTATGTCTTACTGTCTTATCTCATCCTATTATTCATTAACATAGATGTTACTTACAACTTTTATACTGTAATACTACCTCCCTCCGTTAACATTTACTTGCAACTTTAGGGTATTATTTGAGAGACATAAAATATTCCAAAATTGCAAGTAAATGTTAACGGAGGTAGTAAAATAATGAATAAATTTTATTAGGTAATAATCTCATATTACCATATCACACTGTCACTTTCATTTTACTCAACATTTTTTACTTTAGTGATCTTATTTATTCTTTTACATCCATCTAATTCTTCAAATACTTTTTCTTACTTTATCCAACTTCATCTTGTAATACACATATCCTTTTACCGTATTTTCATAAAACAAGAGTGTATATATATTAATTGAGTTGAACTTTCAAGAGTAGAGGAGTATCGATATCTCATATGTCTAACAAGTATAGATTAAGCAAAGCTACATAACTACGTGAAATATCTCATTCAGAACCTTCGAAAACACGTAATTCAACAAATATATAGAATAAGAAAAATGCATAGATTGTATATCATATTTGTTACCTTCACATTACCCTATGAAATGTTACGCAAAAGAAAATCATATTATATGAAATTTAATGCTAAAGGAAAATCACATTAAATCTAATGCAAAACAAAATCATACGAGTAAGAAATTTATGTGCACAATCAATGAATCCATTATTGATGTATATGAAGAGTAACGGACTGAAATAGTGAAAGGGGTGTAGTGTAAGGTTCTTTTGTTTCCTACCTAATATAATGGGTTGACAGTGACTTCAGATGACATGTATATGGCCCATTTGAACGGGTATCTTTGTTTAAAACAACCTTGAAAATCAGTTTTCAGCTTGTCTTACTGTTAAATTTACCATTGTATTACTTTGGTTAGACAAATTTCAGCAATTCAGATTACCATGTGAAACTTGGGAAATTGGTTCTACAGTTTCAGTAACCATGTGAAACTTAACGAAATTGGTTTTACTAGTAAAGATTAACGGTCTGTGTACATTAGGTCGCAGGTTCAAATCCCTCACCTTTTATTTGTAATTGATTGATACTGTATTGCCCTTGGGATTCATTCCCTAAAAACACAAGATCTTATCTGATATGATTATTTCTAAAATAAACTATTTTCAACTTAAAAAAATTGAACTGAACATAACATAAGGAATACTCTATGAATTTTTACATAATGATTAGAATGATTAGGGCTAAATTAGCCTCATAGGTAGCAAGTTCAAATCCCTCACATTTAACCTGTAATTGATTGATATTGTATTGCCATTATGACTCATTCCCTAAAATCACGAGATCTTATCTGATCTGGTATGATTATTTCTAAAATAAATTATTATCAACTTTAAAAAATGGAACTGAACATAGCATAAGGAATACCCTATAGAATTCTTACATAATGATCGAGTAGGGCTAAATTAGCATCATAGGAACTAATTAAGGATTTACTAATCAGCTTATAAAGATTATTTTTTTGTTTATGCTGATTTGCAGATTGTATTCTGGTCTATTGTGCCAATGTTACTAAGACAAGATCGAATACAGATTTTGATGACGATATTGCTGCTTATTTTTCTATTCCAATTTCTACCCAAAGTTCACCATAGCATTTACTTAATGAGGAAAATGCAAAAGGTCACTGGATATATCTTTGGAACCATTTGGTGGGGATTTGGACTTAATCTCATTGCCTATTTCATTGCTTCTCATGTAAGTCGTCTTCTAAATAGACTAATTTCTACATAAACTTAAGAACTTTTACTGATTAATCAATTTGTCTCGACTATAATCAATTTGTGTGGTGTGAAGGTTGTAGGAGGATGTTGGTATGTTCTTGCAATACAGCGCGTTGCATCTTGTCTGTCACAGCAATGTAACAGACATGGGAACTGTAACATGTCTTTGTCGTGCTCAAAGGGAATTTGTTACCAGTTTTTTCAGCGACCAAGTACAATAGAAAGATGCAATGCTAACTCCACTGTGAACAACATGATGTCCTTTTGTTTGGATGATAACGGACCTTTCAGCTATGGAATTTACAGCTCTGCTATTCCTGTCATATCTAGTAACGCTGTTATTATTAAGATCCTTTACCCCATATCATGGGGTTTATTCCAGTTGAGGTATGCATTAGCTCAAAAAATCATTAACTCAATAGTACTTATGTCACAAAATAACTACTATTTGATATAGTAAATGATATTTAGAGTGTTGAAGATTTGTATTGTATTGTTTCAGTACTTTTGGCAACAATTTAACTCCAACAAGCCAATGGGCCGAAGTATTATTTTGTATGTGTCTTGTGCTTGGTGGCTTAATGCTTTTCACCTTATTGATTGGAAACATTCAGGTAACTTATAGCTAATGTTTCTTCAATCAAGTTGCAAAACTCTGTTTTTATTTTTTATTTTTTCCTACTTACCAAGTATGTGACATTCCAAAAGGTATTCTTGCATACTGTAATGGCAAAGAAGAGAAAAATGCAATTAAGGTGTCGAGATATGGAATGGTGGATGAGGCGAAGACAGCTACCATCTCGTTTAAGGCGTAGAGTTAGTCATTTTGAACGTCAGAGTTGGCTGACTACAGGAGGAGTTGATGAAATGGAGTTGATCAAAGACCTACCTGAGGGGCTCCGGCGTGATATCAAGCGTTATCTTTGCCTTGACCTCATAAAAAAGGTGATATACTCATTTAAAATCCAACTACTTGCAAAGTTTATATGATCATTTGTGTTTCAAATGATAATTTTATCTTCTTTGGTTATAACATTATCTTGCAGGTTCCACTATTTCATTGTTTGGATGATCTTATCCTTGACAATATCTGTGACAGAGTCAAACCATTAATATACTGTCAAGAGGAAAAGGTATATATTTCTTCCGTTCTTTTAATATTGCAACGTTTGCACTTCTAATGACACTGTAAGCACACCCTTTTTTAACTAGATCATGACGGAAGGAGATCCAGTTCAGAGGATGGTGTTCATCGTTCGTGGAAAAATAAAAAGCAACCAAAACCTAAGCAAAGGCCTAGTTGCAACAGACACGCTGCAACCAGGAGCGTTCCTTGGTGATGAGCTCTTATCTTGGAGCCTTCGAAGACCATTTTTACATCGACTACCAGCTTCCTCAGCAACATTTATTTGTCTTGAATCGACTGAAGCTTTTGGACTTGATGCATATGACCTACGTTACATCACCGAGCACTTCCGTTATAAGTTTGCCAATGATAGCCTAAGACGGACCTTAAGGTACCATTCTTCTAACTGGAGAACTTGGGCAGCAGTAAACATACAGTTTGCTTGGCGGCGTTATATGAAGAGAACAAGAGGTTCAGGGACTCATGTAGTCTCTCATAGTGGAGATACTGAGAAAAGACTCCTTCAGTTTGCTGCTATGTTTATGTCTATTAGACCACATGATCATCTCGACTAGAACCCATTTTGTTTTCATTGTTTCGTCTTTAAGGAGAAACTAATAAAGCTTAATTAAGCTACCTCTATATAAACTTTTTATTTTTATTTTTTTTAATTATTTTTGTACGTTTTGTTGTTTTTTCACTGCTATTGATACGGGTATAGGCTTTGAAAAATTAAGATCAACCATTGTTTTCAATAAGATATATTAAGTGTTAAATTTTCACAATATTAATCACCTAAGATCCTATTTAGCTATACTTGTATAAATTATATACTTACTTTCATGAATTACTAGTGGAGAGTGGAGACACCCAATATAATGTTTGTCAGACAACTAACTCTTGTAGAAAATGTTATTTCATTTTTGTTTTACAAGGGTTGAAACAAATCATATACTTTCTCCGTTTTTTTTTATTATTGTACCATACGGGTTGGTACAAATATTTTGTTAGTGGAAAAGAGTAGGAGAGAGAAAGGTAAAAATACTAAATTGCCCATGTGACGTATTGATAAGCTAAAAAGTAAGTGTGAAATTCTTATACTATCTCCGTTAACTTTTATTTGCAACTTTGGAATATTTTATGTCTCACAAAAAATACCCCAAAGTTGCAAATAAAAGTTAACGGAGGTAGTGTAAAAAAAAAAGTAAGTGTGAAAAAGTAAGAGTACGCTGGATATTTGTAGTGTGAACACAGATAATTTTTTTTTTCCTAAAGGGGAAATGATACAATATTTGTGAAATTTCTTAAAAAGGCAAGTAGTGCAATATTACAAGAACGGGAGAAGTATTACATATTACTTATAAGGCAAATTTAATGTATTGCAGCTTCTCCCGCAATTGAACATGTTGTCTATCAGCTTTGTGCATGTTGCAATGTTGCAAAATCGAACCAAGTTTTTGAATCTGCTGAATCAACCACAAGTAATTTATATCTCCTTGACCATCACCTTGAAGAAGAGTATGTTACTAGATTATACAAGTCGGTAAACACAATAATGGGTTTAGTGTTAGAATTTTAAGCCTGATGTAAACACAATAATGAGTTTAGTGTTAGAATTTGTATTTGATTCAAATCATTCCTTATTGTCAGGGGTGTCAAAAACGGGAAAATACAAGTTACTCATCCTGAGTAACAACAAATGTAATTCAAGGGGCACAGATGTAATTTCGTGCTTTTAAGTTGGGGGTAAAAACGTCCACAACATATTTCATAGCAATGGATGAGTTCCTTCCATCCTCAACAACACCCTCCTTCTTCCTCCATTCTCCCACAACAGTACCCTTCTTCTTCTCCACCGTTCTTCCTCCTATCCCCCGCAAGAGTAACACCTCCGCCGGAACAAGATGCTAGCCCTAAGGGGTTGATATGGCCCTAAATAAAACTATTTGTTCCTAGGGTTTCGTTTTGTTCCGAAGCGGTGTTTAGGGCTTGAAGCCATTGTTATCGAGGAAGGAAGAAGAAAAGGGAGACAACGGGGAAGAAGATCAGAGATCGTGGGTTGGTGGTGAAGCGCAAACTGGTGGTGGTGGTGAAGCCCTGAAGCGCACTCAACGTTCTCAAGAAGACGAAGGTTTTTTTTAAAACACAAAAAAATTAATAATAAAAAAAATTTGTGTAAAATTACAATATATGCCACTTGAGTAACAAATTTATTAGTTACTCAGGATGAGTAACTGGAGCTTGCTCGTCAAAAACTAAATAACTCCTATATATATACAACTCATGCATACATAGAATACTAATCTCATAAAGTAAAATTATGTATGTATACCTATTTACATAAGTGATGTGTTACTTAGCCATCATCAAGCTTAGAATACCGACCTTATGAAAATAAGTTATGTAACATATAAATTAAAGCTACCTTCATGTATTCCTTAGCCATCATCAAGCTTACCAACCATAGCTCGTTATTGTTCATATATTCCTTAAATTGCTTATTATACGGAGTATTATATATAGCTCATCATCATGTTCCTTTTATTTGCTATAATCCCTTGCCTCTTATCTTATACATAATTTGTTCTTTCTATGAATAAATTAACAAACATGCATAATCATCTTTGATTTAAAATCATCAAAACATTTATTTTTCCCAGATAGCCTACTCTTACACAAAGACAAGTTTTAAAAAGACAAAATAAAAGGTATGAAAATTATATCACAATAATAGCATATAAATCCTTAATATCATTACACAACTTACCTTGATTCTATCTTAAAATATTATCATAAATGAAAATTATATTACAATAATATATTTTCGAATATTTAGAATCCGAAAACAATTTAAAATCATGGTAGCTATATTTTATTTTGATAATCAGAGAGCCACAAGGCAAGTGATTAGTATCAATCTCAGAATTTTTTGAAATCGGGAGGCCAGGGGAGCTCTAACCACTTAAAATATCCCTCATTCTCATCTTAGCTAATAAGTAATCGGAATACTACGAAGAACGATAGTTTCAACAGTAGTGCCAGGACCAAACGCAACTAGAACACCCCATTCAGATCCTTCCCCTGTAGTTGCTTTGCCCTCTTTCAATGACCTCTTCCTCATCTCATCCATTATGAATACTACACTTGCACCCCACATATTCCCAAACTCGCTTAGTATGTGCCTACTAGTATTCAGTTTGCTCGTCTCGAGTTTGAGTTCGGCTTCTATCTGGTCCAAGATAGCTGGTCCTCCAGGGTGAGCGACCCAAAAAATGGAATTCCAATCACTGATCCCCAAATGCTCAAAACATTCGATTAATGAAATTTCGATGTTATTAGCTATTATTTTGGGGACATCCGGACTTAGTTGAACGATCATCCCCACCTCACTAAGGCGTGCTTGAATAGCATCTTCAGAATCCGGCAATGTAGTCTGCCCGGTCGAAACAAGCTGAAAGATGGGCCGCTCAGTAGGCTCATCAGGGTCAGCACCCACAATCATTGCCCCGGCGCCATCTCCGAAAATGGCAAGTGGTACTAAGTGGGCTTCACTCGGGGCATGAAAACAAATGGTAGTACTCTCTGAGCAAACTACCAATACACGTGCACCAGGGTTGTTCTCAGCAATGTCCTTAGCTATACGAAGGACCGTACCACCTCCATTACAACCGCCTTGGCGTAGTATAAATCGCTTTACCGAAGGGTGGAGGCCGAGAAGCTTGACAAGCCGGAGATCGGCCCCGGGTAGATCAACATCCGAGTTAGTACCAAAGATAAGATGGGTGATCATGGACTTGGGTTGCCCCCATTCTTTTAAGGCCTTCTCAGCTGCCTCTTTACCAAGTTTAGGAACTTCTTTAGCTTATATAGCTTGACGAGTTTTAAGGGAAGAAACATTATTGTCACCTAAATGTGGATTTTCTTTCAACATCTCTTCAGTTATGGACAAGTGACGTTTCCTGATCATTGATTTTTCACCTGCATATATATGTGCAATTTAGGATCAGTGCAATTTAGGATCAGTGCAATATAAGATCAGGGCAATGTACGACCTTAAAAAGTTTACGAACTTATAAATAAGGTGGCGTACAATAAATATCGTGCATTAAAGGTAAAAATGTACTTAAATAATACTCGTAATAAAAAATTTACTTATGTGATAGTAGTATTTTTGGTTTATTGGAAAGTTGAAGGTGAGTTTAAAACTAATTAATGTAACAATATAGTATAACTAACGCCTCGTTCACTTAATTTTATTTTTGCTGAATTGAAATTATTTTTACTGAACTGAAATTATTTTTGTTGAACTTTAATTATTTTTATTGAATGAACTAAAATTAATTTTACTGAACTAAAATTAATTTTACTGAACTAAAATTAATTTTGCTGAACTAAAATTATTTTAACTGATTTTTTATTATATTTATTTTTTATAAATACTGAATTTTACTGAACTAAACTTATTTTTAGTAAACTGAAATTAATTTTACTAAACTGAACTTATTTTTACTGAACTGAATTTATTTTTACTGAACTGAATTTATTTTTACTGAAATGAATTTATTTTTACTGAACTGAACTTATTTTTAAAGTGAACTGAACAAGACTTAATTATAATCAAGATTCCACATGACTAAAATATTCCTAAAGTATAATAAATAACTTTTCATCATTGGTGGATTTTGATCAAAAAATTAGGGGGGCCAATGTTTGATCCTCCAATACTCCAACTTTTTACTTAAAAGTAACAATGCTTAATCAATTTATGTATATGCTACAACTTTTTATACAAGTATGTAATTATTAGACATCAAATTAATTATAACCAACAACTCTATAAAACTTAGGGGGGTCGGGCCCCTCCCCGCCACAACTAAGATCCGCCATTGCCCATTGCTTGACACAATCAATGCAATTTGTAAAAAAAGTAAATGTTATGTTTGTAAGAGAATAGAAGAAAAAATACTACCTCCGTTTTTGAAAGTTTGACTTACTTAGGCTCTATTCACTTCACCTTAAAATAATAATATTTAGTAAAAATAATTTCAGTTTTGTATAAATAAGTTTAATTCAGCAAAAGTAATTCCAGTTCAGTAAAAATCAGTAACTTTACAGAAGAAATATAATAGAGAATCAGCAAAATTAATTTTAGTTCAGCAAAATAATTTCAATTCAGTAAAAATAATTTAAGTTCAGCATAAATAATTTTAGTTCAGTAAAAATAATTTCAGTTCCGCAGAAATAAAATAAAGTATACGGGCCTTACTATTCATTTGGTCAAAATAAAATAACTTTGACCATATATTATGATTTATACAATAGAAATAATGAGGTATCTTATTAGATTTCCCTTATTACGGAGTATAAAATTTTTAAATACCAACTTTTTATAATTTTCACTTATATATAGCCGAAGATATTATGGTCAAAGATGTTCATTAGAGACCATACAAATGTAAAGTGAGTTGAACTTTTAAGAATAGAGGGATTAATAATAATAATAATAATAATAATAATAATAATAATAATAATAATAATAATAATAATAATAATAATAATAATAAAGAAAAAAGGCATACATATGCGCTTGAAATTGGCCTTAAGATCTGTCAAATGCTCACTCTTTGTTGAACGGAAGTAGTAATATGGATAATTAGATTGATACATTACATTTAGAGGGTTAGCGGTGCCAATGGTAAAGATCGTGGCAGGATGGCCACCCAGGGCATTAGCTCT